GAGATCTGGCGGCGGAGATCGTGATGATAACTACAATGGTGGAAACAGAGGGAGAGTAGAAAGAAGAAGAGGAGGAGGAAGAAGAAGCCAGCGACGGCAGAGACAGAGGAAGAGAAGAAAGAAGAAGAAGAAGAAGAAGAAGCCAGCAATGGCGGCGGAATTGACTCGTTGATATTTACATTAAGAATGGTAACATCAAAGTTTCGTATTTTATGTTTGGTAACTAGTTTAACACGATAACATATTATAAATAACTAGTTTAGCACTATAATTTTTTATGGGTAACTTGTTTAACACATATTTTTAAAAATATGATAACTCAATTAGCATTATAAGTTTTTGATATAATAATTATGTGAATATGAAAATTAATGTATGAGTTAACACATTAGTTCTCATACATATTTTTATTTTAATTTTTTAGTATGATAAGTTAATTTATGCTAATTATGTTAACATTAGAGTTTTATTTTAGGGTAACTAGGTTAACATGATAACATATTATGGATAACTAGTTTAGCACGATAACATTTCATGGGTAACTAATTTAACACGATAACATTTTATGGGTAACGCCTTTAGTACGATAACATTTCATAAAATGTTATCGTGCTAGTATGAAAAAGTTATCGTGCTAACAAGTTAATTCTCTTATCTTATATTCATTATTTTATGTAATATGATAACTTATTTAGCTTGATAATTTTTGTTACGATAATATATCACCATTTTAGCATAAAATAAACAGTATATTAAATCTTATGAGATGTTGAACAGTGTTTGCGATTTGCTTGCAGAAAATAAAATGTTGAACAGTGTTTCCGATTTGCTCTATCAGAAAATAAAATTTCATGACAATGGCATTTTCTGTAATTATTGAAAATGAAAAGGATATTTTTGGCTAAATTTTTTTCTCTCTCTACCACAAACTAATTTACAAGTATGCATTGGTAGTTACCTAATTTTTGCAACATCCATTGGTATTGAGCTAAAAGACCCATAAATCCCTAATATATTAAAAGAGAAAACACTTTAAAAGTAACCTTTAGGTAATGTGTTATTAACAAGAATGCCATGATGTGTCATCACTAGAGAGCTTCTTAGGTTAGTTATGAAATAAGGATTAGCTTACTAGAATAATTACAAACATTGCCATTCATATTTTGGTTAGAGAATCAAATATGTATTATTAAATTAATCATATATATAATTATTAATAATAAAAAAATATCATTCCCTTCTCTTTCCTTAATTGACAACTACGAAAATTGGTAAATAAGGAAGATATGAATTTAATTTAATTATATGATAATAATTTCTTTTAGAATCACCATATATCTCCTATTATCTTCATTTAACTTTATTTTATAAAATAATTTGAATCACAATATACAAAATTTAATAAAGAAAAACTAAAAATTTTTCTGTACATGCTATGATTTGAATTTTTAAAAAAAAATAATATAAATTGTTTAGTACATAACTTCATTTAGTAGGTATCCCAAGGTAAATTATTATTTTTATTTCATTTAATATGGTTTTTTAATTAATTCTATAATCAAATATATTAAAAATTTTATTTTTCTAAATATTTTATTTTGATTAAAATTTTGAATATTACTCAATCTGTTTCAACTTTCATTATAAAGTTAATTATATTTTTGTTTTTTCTTTTGACAACTTGGATTATGCAGATTTTTTTTCTTATTGGTTTGATTGTTTTGAAATTATAATAAAGCAAGTTTCGATTTGAAAGAAAAACAAAAATTAGATTTTATCCGTGTACACTCAACTAAAACTTTTTATCTTATGAAATACATGTATAAATATTCTAAAAGAATAATGTTTTATTTTCAGTTTTTTTGTTATTATATTTGTAGTCATTTGAGTTTTATGTATATTCCTTAAATCTATCATATTTAATATATGACTACGATCAAAACTTTAATTCTTTATCTTTTAAAAAAGTAGTTTTAAATGTTTAATTTTCATACTATAAACGAATAAACGAAGACAATAATCTAACAAAATTTTAAAATCTGTGGCATAAAATTTCGAGATATTTAAATAAATATTTTTTAATAAAATAATAAATCCAGAAACCATCACCCCGTGCAGGGCGCGGGTCAAACCCTAGTAAAAGAGTAATAGCACAAACTACCCATCAATAGTTTGTATATTAACTGACATGTTTTGACACTGTGCGGACTGTGCGGCCCTACATGTCTGTTAGAGAAATTCCATAACTGCCCATGTGTTTATTAATTCACTAATTAAACTTTTTTCATTAGGTTTCTCTCACCTGTGGTGGTGTATGAAGAAGATTGCGGAGATTAAAAAAAAGAGAAGGAGAAGAATTTGGCACACGATAAAACAAATCGGTGATGGCGATGAGCATGTTACGCCAGTCGGTGATGATGGGCAGAAGGTTGTGATAGTGATTGTGATGATCAGAGCGATTACAACGACGATGATAGCGGGGACGATGTCTGCGTTACTCGACGACGGTGTGGTGGAAGAAGGCGGTGACAATGGGGGGTGATGATGATGGTGGTGGTATCTCGTCTGAATTGGTGAATTTCTACTACAAAATTTATTTTCTTTCTTTTCAATTGGATGTCTCAAAAGCCACAAAATTGGGTGAATCTCAAATTATTTTTCATGATTTCAGAGGAGAAGAAAGAAGAAGAAGCCGCAACGGCGGCAACATAGGAAGAGAAGAAAGAAGAAGAAGAAGAGGTGGAGGAAGAACAAGCCAACAATGGCGGTGAATTTGACGGTGATGAAGATGATGGTGGTAGTAGCTGTGAAGAAGGCGATAATTACACTAACAATCGGTAACATTGTTAACGGTGAGTAATGCAATTGAATTAACATTTTTTTTTATCATGTAACAAATTTATCATGATATTCTTTATCATGTTAAATTTGTTATTGTGCTATCTTGTTTGTAAATTTATTAGAAACATTTACTAGTTAGCATGATAACCGAAAAGTTACCATTTTTAGAAGATTATATATAAATATTATTCAAATAACATATATGTTAGCACGTTACCAGTATTAGAAAACATTGTTAACATGATACGAATGTTTGTTATCATGTTACTATAATTGTTATCATGTTAATTTGGGTAAAAGAAAATATAATTTTAATTATGTTTTTTATATTTGAATGAAACGATAACTTAGTTATCACTATAATCATATACTTTTAACTAAATATAATATAAATTAGCATGTTATCATGAAAAGTTACCATTTTTAGAAGATTAGATATAATATTATTCGAATAACATATATGTTAGCACGTTACCAGTATTAGATAACATTGTTAACATGCTACGAATGTTTGTTATCATGCTACTATAATTGTTATCATGTTAATTTTGGTAAAAGAAAATATAGTTTTAATAATATTTTTTATACTTGAATGAAACGATAACTTAGTTATTACTATAATCATATACTTTTAACTAGATATAATATAAGTTAGCATGTTATCATATATTTAGTATATAAAACTACAGTGTTTTGGTGATGAATTTCTCTCTCCTGCGGTGGTGAATATTGGATGAACAGTGATGACGGGAGTTTGATTAACAGAATTACCAATTTGCTGATCAGAACTTAGTTTTAATGGTGAATGTCATTATATGTAAATAACTAAACTAAAAAGGATAAAGAAGATATTTGTTAGGAGAGAGAACTAATTTAGAATTGGTCATGGGTAGTTACCTAATTTTTGCAATATCCATTGATATTGACTATTGAGCAATATCACCCATAAAAGAAGAAGATGTAGAGGAGAGAGAGAGAGTTACGTAAAGGAGAGATGGAGTGAGAGAAAGTTTCGTTATGTGAGAGAGAGGGTTATCGAATGTTTTTCTTTTGCTATTGAACTTGTCAATTGATTCATCTCTCGGTACATGGCTTCTCTATTTATAGGAGAAAGAGAATGTGAGATAGTCGACTATAGGAAGCGGTGGAAAAAACTTAGAATGCAAGTAAATAGTAAAATATTGATATAGGATAATCATTATCCTTCTAAGACTCATCCTTGATTATCGTCAATGTTGTACGGTCTCGTTAAAAAATCTATGTCATAGAAAAACCCAATGGAATAAAAACTATGACTTAGAAAAAAGAGTACCGTAGCATAATCTCTCCCTGGAAAAGATAAAATCTTTTATTTTCACAAGTTTTGTAGACGACGCATTCCAATACTGTGAACATGCTTCTTGAATACTGTAGTAGGAAGCGCCTTTATAAAAAGATCGGCTGCATTGTCACTTGAACGAATATACTTGATGTTGAGTCAGGTTTTACCAAACTCCTAGACCTCTGCAAGTGCACAGATCGCGGAAGTATGGGTATCGAACACAAGGACTGGCTATTGAGTACACTTTGAAACTATGGATTTTGGATCAAGCTAAAACAAAAGTATGATTGAGGTTGTAATGGTGAACCGAACTAGCAAGTATAACGAGGTTGTAAATCAATAAGGAAAAGCGCTAGGTCATAGGGGCTATCGCAGAGAAGCAAGCAATGATCAATGAAACAATGATAGATGAATTGATTAGGGATATTGGGATATTAAGAACCATCTAGAACACAGATCACGAATATAAAACCATTCCACTTTCGAGGCTCCGGCTCCTTTGTTAATCTACCTAGTCGCTAAACTTTTGGTATGTCCCTAGGTGATTAAATCAAGCTTTAGAATGAATAGGTTCTGATACAGTTCACTAGATATAGTAGATCAACTTTCGCAGTCTAAGAAACCTAGCTTGTCAAAGAATATGTCCGGCGAATGATACAACACTGTCGAGGCTCAAATCAACCTAAGATCGGATTACTAGATGCGCGGTAAAGCAATCAGCATTAGTTAAGTGCACAAGACGAGACAAAGACTCTAATATAATCCCTAGCTAATCATTGAAATCAAAGATCATGCAAGCAACTCATTGAATAGTAACCCTAGCAACCTAACTAGTGGATTACTCAGACATGATCAAAGCAAACACACATAGAGATGAAGAAAACATGATTGCAATAAAACTTAGAGTAGGAAATCGAAATACAAGGGCGGCTCTCTTTCTCAAGAGGCTAAAAAGTATATATATAGTGCTAGGTCTTCTAGGCGGCTTAGGGTTAAGCCGGGCTTGAAAATATGAAACGGGCTTCAAAACGGGCTTCGGGTCGACCGCGGCGTTGGACGGTCGGTCGGGACGATCGGCCGGACATCGGGTCATGGTCGCGGCATCGGAACGGTCGTGGCCGGAGGATTCGTGGTCGGCCGCTGTGGTCGGCGGATGAAGATTTGGCCGATGTTTCGGCCGGACGTGGGACGGCTTTCCCGGTCGGACGCGCATCGGCCGTGGTACGCGAGTTGCGCGGCCGCGAGGCTTTTCCCGGCTCGCGCGGCTGGTCGTGCGCGGCTGGCGTGAGGTTGAACTTGGCCGACCGCGGGACGTTTCCCGGGTCGTGTGTGTGATCGGCCGAGGCTTTGGAAGGGACGGACGGATGACTTTGGCCGAGCGCGGAAATTCGTTCCTCGGCCAGCCGGCGCGTTTCTCGATAGAGCCGTCTGGACAGTCTTCACTCTTTTGGATAACTCCTTTTCTACTCATCCAAATGAGGCCGTTCCAGTTGCGTTGGAAAGTTAACTCAATCAGAGCACGCAGGGAACTGGTCTTGATGAAATCCATTGAGTAGATCTTTTTCTGGGCCCTCTTAAAGTTGGTGCTTGTGCATGGAGCGGCTTGAAGTGCAAATCCTATGGTTTTGCTCCAAAATGCATCATTTCACCTGTTTAGACTCTAGACACTATAAACACAGTAAAACTACCTTTTTAGATAGAAAACCTGCCAAAAACCATTAGAAAACAATACTAAAACAGTATAAAAAGCATGTAAAATAGAGGTATATCAACTCCCCCAGACTTAGATCTTTGCTTGTCCCCAAGCAAAAAGAATCTAAATCCGTGAAAGAGGTTTGAAAACGTGGAAGCTCCCTTGCTCTTTTGAATATCCTGTGAAAGGTTCCTTTCCTGTATTCCACTAAGAACATAGACAACATAAGGTTAGCTTCACATACACCCTGCAAGTTTAGCGAACAATACCAACCCAACTAGTCTCATCCAGCAATCCAAACTCTCTATTGCTAACCTCTTGCATAAATTTAAAGCGTGAATTCTTTATCAAGGGACATCGATCAATTGAACTTGTTCTTACCCACTTGATCTCTCCAAGATTGTCTTTAAGTGCAATGAGTTCTTTTCCTCTCTCTTTCTCACATCAGAACTTTGAAAGGTCAATTTCTCCCTACTTTTCTAGGGTATCATTTTATTTTTTCTATTGACCCTTCTTTCAACCACAGGATAAGTCTTTAGCTTGTTCCTTGTTTGACTAAGGTATTCCATAAGACATGAAGGTACAGACATATGCATTCCTCATGCTTACTTGTTTTCCTTGTGCTCTTTGAGCTTTTTCTCATAAATACTTACCATTTGGGATGGGAGAGAGAGGAGAACTCTTTAAAGATTAGACAAATCTTATTGAAAATCAAGCAAGGAACTGTCGACATGTATGCCAATCCCCTTGACAAGAGTATTAAGATTGATTAAGGGTGAGGTTAACTCTAGATTGCTTGGTTACCTTAGAAATTTTGCTGAGCTAGCATGTCGATCCACTGTAAGAGCTTCTGTTAGGCTTGTGCCTTTAGCTGGTTTCTGCTCTAGGGTCATGGATTGTTAGCACAACACTCTCAATTCTCAAAGCAAGTTCATAACTTCCGGACTGGTTTTTGACTCAATAAAACTTTTTGAAAAACATGAAACAAAGTGAATAAAACATAAGAAAAGAAAGAAAAATGCATTAGTAACACAATAAAACTCCCCCCAGACTTAACTTGCACCGTCCCGGTGAAAGCAAATCACATTAAGGTGAGAGGTAATATTCAAAGTAAAAGAAAAATAAAAAGAAATTCATTAAAATGAGATAGGGATAGAAAATGGAGATTTGTAAGTGTCCATTGCACTAAGTACCACTTGAGATGACTATGTGTGGCAGTGAGAAGAACTCTCTTCCTCATCTATGGGGTCATCGCCTTCTGAACCAAGCTCTGAGTCTAGTGAGAACTCACCAAGGTCAGGCTCATATGGCTCTCTAGCGGTGGAAGAAGGGCGAAAGAGTCTCTCCGGTGCAATGTGGCGAACTACACGAACTAGGCGTGAGATGAAGCGAGATTGGCACTCCACGATCTTCTCCAGCTTGTTAACACGGTCTAGAGCTTGGTTCGCGGCCATGCCAGTAGTGAGAACATGGCGTTCTTGGTGGCGGCGTTGAGTCTTGACTGCATGCTGAAGTGTGCGATAGGTGAGCATGGGGAATGATGGTTTCTCACTTGATGGAACATAGAAGTCTTCCTCATTGGGCTGGAAAGTGACAACACCTGAGCGTAGGCTTGGGATGTCTTCATGTGGCAGCAAGACAAGGGAAGTGTTGGCTGGACCAATTGGAAACTCATAGCAAAACCGAGTTGGGTCTTTAGTCCAACGGTTTAGGAAGTGGATGTGCTGAAGGGCATGGAGATCCAAAGGGGTTGGCTTGGGTAGTGGCTCATAGTTGGGAATGTCAATCCCCACATGTTGCACTATGGCCGTGATAAGCCTCCCAAAACGAACACAAAGCTTCTTGTTGCCTTCCAAGTCTTGAGCTAGCTTCCTCACATTGATGAATGTCTTGGCAAGTAAAAGCCAAGGTTGGCCTTGTACTCATGCTTGATGAATGGTGTGGTGAGGATGTAGAACTCATCAGTTGTGACCTTGTTGGCTTCTTGTTTGCATTGGAAAGTGGTGGAGATGAGGCGGTGCACATAGCGAATGGCTGGATGAGTGATTCTAGACACCTTTGATCTTGAAGGCAAGAATGGTTCATTGGCAAAGTGTGTCCAATCAGCAAAGGCAGCTTGTTTCCTCTTTGAGTTCTCCTTGAAGTCATGTGCTGTCTCATTGGGAAGTCCAAAGAGTTGGCATAGAGCTGAGATGGAGATGCGCCCATTGGCATCGCCTATCTTGAAGAGTAGGAGTCCATCACCAGCTGGTTGGTCTCCATTGTGGTTGGGAAAGGCAAGAGCTACTGTGGAGAGGAACTCCTTGGTTATTGAGTACTCACTACTCTAGCTTGAAGAGCTTGCTCAAGCCTAGCTTCCTTATGTACCATGTGACATCATCTCTTATCTTGAGAAGGTCAAGGGTTTGGGTGTCCATCTTCACACAAGGTTCTCGATGTTCACCTTCTCCATTGCCTTCTTGCACTTTCTTGGGTCTTGGATTTGTTCTCCAACAAAGCTTACAAGTGCCCAATCATCTTCTCTTCTTGGACTCTCCACATGTTCTTGATTGCATCAATGGAATGTGGTGGTTGGTATTGCTGCTCTTGCATTGGAGCTACTACTCCCTAGCTTGATTTGTTTCTTGGTGGTTCCATGAATGGGTCTTCTTCTTCTTCATACTCTCATTTCCTTTTGTCTTTGCCATTGGGTACCTACAAGAGCAAATTCTTGGGAAGATATGAGTTTGTGATTAATGCAAAAGAAAGATAAGCTAATTGAGTTGTAATAATGATATGGTATAATGGAACAACTCAAGGCTTAATCATAATCAAAGAAACAAAATGGAAATTTCACTTTTCAAAGTTAATTTTCGGATTTTACTGTTCATCCCAAGATTATAGTGCATAAAATCGAAATTTTAGCAAATCAAGAGAAATTGAGTTCTAATCCAAGTAATCAATAGATATACAGTAGAACCTCTATAGAGTAATACTCGGTAAAGTAATACCTCGATAAATTAATAGAATTTTCAAGTTCCGAATTCAGTTTTTGGTCTAATAATCCCTTCGATAAATTAATATTTTCGCTAAAGTAATAAAATATTGTGGTCCCAACGTTATTACTTTATAGAGGTTTTACTGTACTAATGAATTTAAGTATGGCCAAGCAATTTCACCTTTGAATAAGGGGTTTTGAATGACCAATAAGTTTTGTGAAAAACTATTAAATTGTGAAATTAAACTTCAAATAACTCTAAACCACCTATGTTCCACCTAGCTAAGTTCATCACAAGACTCATAAGAATGAGAATTTCAAGTTTAGACAAGAGTTTAAACTAAGCAAGAAACTATTGAGAATTTCAATCTTGCAAATTAATGAGATTTAGAGTTAGAAATCATACCTTGTGTATTGAAAAGTGAATAAGGGGTGAAAGAGCAAACAAATTCAAGTTTAGAGTTATGAACAGTAAAAGTTTTGAAATCAAAGCTCTTAGAGTTCCTCTAATGGAGTTTAGGGTTTTGGAGAAGAAAGAGAGGTTCTTGTTCTTTTCAAGGAAAATGTAAAGTAAATAAGCTCAAAGTCCAATTAATTTTCCTCTTCAAATTCGAATTTTACTTGGAAAAGCCGGTTTAAATTGGTTAAGGATTGGTTAAAACCGGTTTGAATTTAATGAAAAGGGGACTTACCTTGGCCGAGAAAAGTTTGGGCCGATGGCCGATGGATTTTTGTCGCGATCGTGCGGTTTGGTCGGCCAAATCCGCGAACGAACGAGAAATCCGGCCGAGGCCGATCGTTTGCTTCCCGGATCGACCGGGATGGTCGGTCTGTTCCAATTCAAAATTCCGTCCGAGCGCGGCCTATTCCCTTCCTGTCCGTGCGTATCGCGCGGACGGTTTTAACGCGCGATAGAAGCATCCGGCCGACCATAAGCCATTCCTTCCCGGCTCGACCGGCACGGTCGGCCCGGTTGGAAAATTGCTCGGCCAAAGTTCTTTTGCGCGTCCGCGGCCGATATTTCGACCCGGATTGTGTTTTCACACCTTTTTCTCCTTCTATCCTATCTTAAAACAAAGAAAACACAAAAGCAAAACAAAAATTAAGAAATCTAAAGAAAGAAAAGTAAAAGTACCTCATGGGTTGCTGATATACCTCTATTTTACATACTTTTTATACTATTTTACTATGGTTTTCTAATGGTTTTCTAGTGAATTCTTGTGTTGAAGGGTAGTTTTTATGGATTTATACTGCAAAGAGTCATTTTAGGTAAAAAGGTGCATTATGGAGGAAAACAGAGGATTTGGACTTCAACCCAGTCCAATGCCACTGCATCAACTTTGGAGGGAGCTAAAAAAAGATATACTCAATGGATTTCATCAAGACCAGTGCTCTCTGATTGAGTTAACTTTCCAACGCAACTGGAACGGCCTCATTTGGATGAGTAGAAAAGGAGTTATAGCCAAAAGAGTGAAGACTGCTCCAGACGGCTCTATCGAGAATCAGCGCCGAACGGCAGACGGCTGGCCGAGGAACGAATGTTCCGCGCTCGGCCAAAAAACCATCCGTCCTGTCTCGGCCAAAGTCAACCGTCCAAGCTCGGCCGATCACATCACGACCCGGGAAACATGTCCCGCGGTCGGCCAAGCCACAACCACGAAAGCCGCGCACGACCATGCCGCGCGAGCCGGGAAGCAACGCCTCGCGGCGCGCACACCTCTCACGTACCACGGCCGATGCATCCGTCCGAGCCGGGAAGACGTCCCACGTCCGGCCGAAATCATCGGCCAAATCTTCACCCGCCGACCACGCCGGCCGACCACAAATCATCCGGCCACGACCGTTCCGACTCCGACCCAGACCCGACTGTCCGGCCGACCGTCCCGACCGACCGTCCGAACGCCGCGGTCGACCCGAAGCCGTTTTTGAAGCCCAATCCGCACAATTCAAGCCCAAAGCCGGCGCCGACCTAGCTAGATTAGGTTTAGCCGCTTTTCATACTTAGAGCATTATAAATACTTCTTTTTAGCCTTGTAACTCAAGAAGGAGAGAGACCACAATCTATTTTACATCTTTAATAAAGTTTTGCTTGCTTTTACTTTGTTCTTGCTTGTTACTCTTTCTAGAGAGGATTCGAATCTCTGTTCTTATGAATATGAATTCGTGTTCCTTCTCTATGTCTGAGTAGTTTACTTGTTAAGTGATAGGAAGTCAAAGGATAGCATTCATGTATGCTTGATGATTGATCACAATTAGGGTTTTACTTATAATCTCCATCTTTGCTTATACTTAATGCTTGTTGTTAATCTGGCCAATTAGCATATGCCTTTAGGTTGATTTGAGCCTCGACAGTGCTGTATCATTCGCCTGAACTAGTATTTGGTGGGCAATCTCTTTTAGACTGCGAAAGTTGATCTACTTGTAGGTTGTGAACAATTGAACTTAATCGAACTAATGCTTGATTTAATCACCTAGGGACATACCAAAAGTTTAGCGACTAGGTAGATTAACAAAGGGGTCGGAGCCTCGACAGTGGAATGATCATACCATAGTGTTTCAAGTTCTAGATTAGCACCTAAGTGCGGTAACCCTAATTGATTGATTTCATGCTTCATGAATTGCTTATCTCAAGACTATCCTATTGCTTAGCCCTTTCTCTCCTATTGATTTCATTCTCTTTATTACTTGCATGCCTTTACTTTCTCTGCACTCAACCAACTTATACTTTTGCCCTAGCTCGATCTCAACTCATAGCTTGTAGTGTGCAATCTGGTCCTCGTGTTCGATACCCGTTTACTACTTCTGACCTGTGCACTTGCAGAATCAGGGATAGGAAAGGGGAAGACCTGATCCCGCGATCAAGTTTTTGGCGCCGTTGCCGGGGACCAATTCGCACCTACAAGCTCTTGCAAGAGAGCTAGTCTAGGGTTTTTCTTTTCCTTTTTAGTTTTTGTTATTTTTCCTTTTTTCTTTGATTTGGTTTTTCCTTTTTGTTTTTAGCTTTTCAGGTTTTCCTAGTTAGATATGGAGAAGGAGCCACAAGCCTCTTCCCCTATAAAGGCGATGCCATTCGCCACATACCACCTCAAAAGACCTCTTGAGCGAACAAGAGATGTCAAGCCCTCAAGCACCACCACCTTCATGGGATAGTCCTCCAAGACCATCCCTTGAAGACAAAGAAGAAACTTCTTCCTTACCTTGAAGCAGCCGACCTGGAGACGTCTAGCCAAGCCGCATCACACCAAGAAGACACCTTCTAGCCACACCAGAAGAGGAGATTGACCCTGAGCTGATCGAGTTCGTGAAGAGAGATCAATTCCATGATCTGTTTTCAGAGTATGCGCTGGAGCACATAGATCACTTTGACAATCTTTGTGATTCCTATGGAGTTTTTGACTTTGAGAAGAAGATGATGCTATTCAGCACATCACTAGCTGGACCAGCACTAGATTGGGCGCAGCATGAACCACTCTCTACAATCGAGTCATGGATCGATTTTAGAGAAGCTTTCTTGAAGAGATTTGCAAGGCCACCTTTCAAATCCAAGTACACCACTACTCTCATCAGCTGGAGAGAGAGCGTGATGAAGAAGAATGGGGAGGCATACCACCCCATCCTGAAGTTCTTGAATGAAGAGCTAATCAAGCATGTGGAGAGAATCCTTTCTACAATTCTACTTCAGAATGTGCAAAGGAGCATCTATGCAACTTTGAGCAGCTTTGCCACGACTATGGACTTGGAGACAACCCCAAGAAGATACAACTTTTCCAACTATCTCTAGCTGGACAAGCCAAAGAATGGGCTAAGTTCAATGCCCAACATGCTTTCAAGACTTGGAATGGATACAAAGGAGCTTTCCTCACAGATTTGCAAAGGTCCATTTATGTTCCACCACCACGCCCAAGCTATTCACAACACCATCCATCATCACCAGACATAAACAAGACACCACTTTTCCCAAGGGAGAGCTATCAAGCTGCGCGCCAAACCAAGATTGAAGATATGCTTCAAGAGTACTTGAGAAATCAAGATGAGAGTACAAAGAAGATGGAGAGAGAATCGATTTCATCCATGAGAGCCTTGGAAACAAATCTGAAGTCCTATTCAAGCAAGTGATCAAGCTTGATGAAGACATTAAGAAGTTAAGAGAGGATCATGATCGATCTCTGACCCTAGTTAAGCTTGATGTTGCTTCCAAATATCAAGAGTTGCTGAACAAGAGCATGAGAATTGAAGATACTAGCTATGGCAATAGCAAACATCTTGGATCGATCTACAACCGCCTACAAGCCCTTGAAGGATCATCTCATGCCAATTACAAGAGAGAGAGGAGTCCAACACCCAACCACCCTCCCTTTTATTGCAATGCCATCACAAGAAGAAGCACTACCAAGTCCATGAGGACAATGAAGAAGAAGAAAGAGAGTATGAGGAACAAAATGATGAAGATGAAGAGCAGAGCATCGACATCAATGCTTCCCCAAAACAGAGCATGGATACACCTAGCCCTATTGACCCTCGTTTCTCACCACCAAGAAGTCAAGCTTCTACACTTCCAAGATTGGAAGCAATGCAAAGACCATCACCACCTACTGAAGAAGAAGATACTTGGCATATGATCCCATTGATCCCAACAAGATAAGCCCCATGAAGCTTAAAGAGTTCAATGCTAAGGTGAAATCACTTCCATTCTATGTCACTTTTGAAGAAGCTTGGGATAAACATGTCTAGTGGAGTTCTTTTTCACAACTAGTGAAAACAAAGAAGAAGTACACCAACTTTTTCAGAAGGCACGATTTCCCCTTGCCCCTCATGCAGTCAATCAACCACCATCACCACCATCATCACCACCACCTCAAGTGGTATGTCAATTCCATATCAAGAGAGAAGCTTGCTGAGTTCAATCAGTTTGTCCAAACTCTTCCAGCCAGCATGTCCTTCCAAACAAGCTTGGCGCCACTACCCATTCACCACCTTCTTCCACAACTGCAGAGAGACACCAGGACATCAAAGAGCTTTTTGAGAAAGCTAAAGTTCAGCCTACCTTCAAGACCCTCTACAAGATTGAAGACCCAGGTCAATTCTCTATTCCCTGTCAAGTAAATGGTCATTACTTTGATAGAACACTATGCGATTCTGGATCTTGCATAAACCTCATGCCAACCCAAACCGCCAAACTCCTTGGCATCACACGCTTGCAACCTGCTCAAATTAGTATTGGACTTGCTAACCATACTATAGCCAAGCCAAGAGGAGTTGTTGTTGATGTTCTTCTAGAGATTGGAGATATCAAGATCCCGGTGGATTTTCATGTCATGAACATCAAGGAGGATGTGACACACCATTGATACTAGGCCGACCCTTTTTGGCCACTGCTGGAGCTGTCATGGACCTTCCAAACCGGCGAATGTCCTTAGCCAATGTTGACAAGACAGTCTTTTACAAGACCATACCATTCATCTCACCAAACAAGCTGTCTTACTTCAT